ATGGCCTTGTTGATATGTATATATAGGCATTTTTTTGCGTGTGCAATTTGCATGATGGGTGAATGAGCGAACGGTGCGGATATTTTTGGGGGGTTCTGTTAGGAGGGCAAATTGGGGATTTTCTTTTTTCTTTTGTTTTTTTTTTCTTCTTTCGGTTTGTAATTGACAGGCCAACTATTTTGTAACTTCGGTCTCCAACTTGGACTTGGACTACACTGCCGTGTTGAGTTCCAATTTCCAACTAATAAAGATTATAAGTTATTTTATATTACTTTTCATACTTTGGTAACTTTTTTTTTCTTTCGTATTTTTATTATTATGCTTTTCCATACTATAAGATACTATACTATATAATTGTAAAAATAGTTTACAATGAATCAATGATAAATGATTAAAATATAAAAATCGATCTAAATTAATATTTATTTGTTAATTAATGGAGCAATTTAATTTAAAAAAATACTGACACCGTGACACGAATATGAGTATGAAATAATGTGTGCATTTAGTGATTGTCAATTATATAGCCTTCAATGTTCAGTTTGTATACTTTATACTATCAAATATTTTTTTTTATTTAAAAGAATCATCTATTCTCCAATATTGAACGAACTTTTATCTATTTGCCTATTTGGCCACGTGATTACAAATAAAGTGATTAGTAAGTAATTACCCAGAAAACTATAGTTCGTCCCTTTTTTTTCCCATGTCTGCTAGCACGAGGTAATAAAATTGTGTTGATGAGACACAAAGCAAATAATTATGTTCTTTTATTGCAGAAAATCGATTAATGAATTGAAGTGTATATAAATTGTTACATTCCAAAAACAAAAATATTAAATTAAAAAAAAAATGGGACATTTATAATATTCGGCAAAAATATGAAATAAAAAAAAATGGGACATTTATAATATTCGGCTTCGCCACTCATGTTGTGTTTAATCAAAGTGGATGTGCATTTACTCCCGTGTTTTTCTTATTGGTAGGGGTTTTCAAAACATATAATGTTATACAATTTATATTATACAATATGAGAATAAAATATTATATTATACAATTTATAGTTATACAATATGAGAATATGATAGATCAACTCATGTAACTTAAGATGGTGCATTATTTTGAGTTTAAGGGACATATTATATATAAGACTTTTTAAAAGTTTTATATTTAAGATGAATGTTTGGAATCTTATGTTGAGAGATTAGGTGTGAGATTTCATATATAAATTTTATTTTTAAAATTTAAATAAATCTTATGGAATATTAATATAAACAACATGGTCAATAAATCTTACATCGACTCCTCCACATATAATATTTTGAACGTCACTCATAATTCTAAATAAATAAATATTCTACATAATGTGTTTTGTTTTTTTGTTAATAATTAGCGTCAAAGTGCAAATAGTGACAAGGTTGATGCATGTAGGATGGTGGATATTAGAAGATGACTGCACAAATCAATAAAGCATCTTCACATGTTCCTTTGTCCACAATAATTGTCAATAATTGTTGTCATATTTGTCTTTTCATTTTATGGGAACTGACCGTTATAGCCTTCATAAGTTCAATTAATGGCCTCGATGGCAAAATAATGATTGGCACTGTTTTGTTCTTGTGTATTCATTTAGGAATTAACTATAAAATATAATCAATTTTCATTGAAGGGGTAATATTTATAGATTCTTTATCTTAAAATTCAATTAAAATTTAATCAAACACAATTCTCCTCATATTATCAATATTAAATAATAATAATTAATCATTCTTAAATGCAATAATAATTTTAATTCACTAATCATCCACTCTCATATATAACAACATATTAATTTAATTTACTAATTATCCACTCACATATATAACAATGTAACATTCCTCTTATTTTTAAATCACATCAATTTTAATACATACATTTTAAATATCATTATAATAGAAGCTTGAAAATTCACTCAAGTCTTAACTTTATCAATTTTATTCAAAATTAACTCATTTTAATCAGTAAATCCAATCAAAATTGATTTTATTTAATTAAGAATTTTCTATCACATATCGATAATTCCATTGTCGTTAATTGAGTTTATAATTTTAGTATATCAATTCATTAGAGCATATTTTTTTTTTCTTTTGAATTTTAAAACAGTCCTCGTTTTAGTCCTTACTTCATCATTTAATGTCATTTTATAAAACATAACAATTAACGATTCATATATCATCTTATCTCAGTATTTCTTAAATTTCTTTAAATTATATATTTAGATAATATTTTTTCATAGATTATTTCCTTTGTCTTTTATACTTTGATTATCATTTTCCTATACTTTAAAATTTAGTCTCGCTCTCCTATTCACATACATGGCCAAAAGTGGACCCCCCAGCAGTTCAGGGCCGGTTCATGCTTGAATTAAGAAGTTGAAAAAATAATTATCTTATTTAAAAAAAATATATTTTTTAAATAGGAATCCGTCACCTAACCACTGGACTGGGTCCGAAACCAAAATCGGCGGTTCAATTGTTCTGAAGAAACAGGAATCGGATTCGGCCCTGAGCAAACGCTGGGCCGTTCGCGAATCTTAGTCAACGGTTCAGGCCGATTCCAAATGTGTTCACCACGGGATGGTTCATCGTGCCGATTCCGAACCGTGGTCATGTCTACCTATGCACGATGTGTACGGATTACTATGTCCTCAAATTAACGTGATAGGAGATTACCTTACCATATACAATGGATATAATGTTTAAAAAATCACGAGATCTTATAACAAAGAGGATAGGTGAGCATTCTTACTTTAAGATCTATTATAATTATATATTTTAAAAAATAGTTTAGAATAATAAATAATTAAAAAACAACAAAATCGACCTTAAAACGACATTCATTAGTAGACGAAGGAGTACCAAAATGACAAATATCCAAAGACAAAATCTATAGTGCATGTATATTGTTTAAAAAAAATTATGACACGCTATTTACCATATTTTTGAGGACTTACCACATACGCTCTATCTTTCTTTTTTTCCAATGGTAAATTTAAAAATTCATTCAACTCAAGGAAAGTTACAACTGACTAACCAAATGGTTAGAGAAAGTTCCACCCCTTACAACAAGCCTTGTTAAGGTAAGAACTACTAGCGTAAATGACAACTCATTCATCCTTCAAGGCACTCTTGGGCAAAGAACCAACCAAGTTATCCAATCTATCAACTAGAACAAACGAGCAAGAAACAAAGCAAGACTTTAAGAAATATATATCATTACAAACAATAGATCCTCTAAATGTTATTTTTCCAGAATTAGATAGAAGAGAAATTAAACTTTTGTCTTCTAAGCTGGATTGAACATTTTCCCAACCTAATGATCTTGTACTTTGCAGTCCCCACCTCACAGCCCATAGGTTAGCCTTATATAGACTCCCCTCATAGTTTCTTGCTGCAGCCCACTCTTGCATAAGCTCTTTGTCCTGTCAAGCCACAAAATCATTACCCAGTCTACCACATGAAGAAAGTAAAGCACTCATAGAAAAGGATTTACGTCCTACCCTTAAGAAAGAATTCTCTTCATGTTCCATCTCCCAACTCAAACTCTGCTCCGCTTTTCAAACCACCCAGTTTTACTATAAATAAACTCCAACCACTCATCTTTAGCCCCTTCTATAATAACTCTATCTTCCATCCACTTCTTAAACTTCTATGCATTTATTGTCTTCCAAAGTCACCACAATAAGTACACTAAAAGGGCCCATTATGTCTTCCATATAGCTTGCCTCTTTTGCATTACACACTTCCTGCCACTAGGTTCTGAACTTGATATCCTCAAGCTTTAGACTAGCCCATTGAACTCCCTGTAGTTGCCAATAAGTAACAACCCTTGAGCAGCTTAAAAAAATGTGCTCCTTGTCTTCAGTTTCTTCACCATAAATATCACAGGTTTGCTCCACCTTTATTCTTCTCCCTGTCAGTTGATGATTAGTACTCAAATAGCCATGATAACATTTCCATAGGAAGATCTTCAACTTGTTCTTGATTGGAAGTTCAGGACTTCTGCCACATTTTTTGTGACTTTTCTTCTAAGGAACTTGCAACTTCTCTGTTCATCCTTTCCTCCTTCTTAGCGATCATCACCTGGTAAGCTGATTTCACTTTAAGGTTTTCTTGTTTGTTCTAAATTCAAATTAGTTTATCTTTTAAACCCACCTGACTAATAGGCATATTGAGAATGGAATGAACATCAAACAATAAACCCATATTGAGAATGGAATGAGCATCGATGGGAATAAAGGTTTGAAGAACTAACTCTCTATCCAACTCTCTTCCCCCATCTAGAAACAACTCCCTAACATACTAAAGCTCTACCCGGTCCCTTTCAAAACTACAAACGGGTTTAAAAGATGGGTCGATCGAAACCCAAGGAGTCTCCCATATGTAAATTGAATTCCCATTATCTACTTGGTATCTAACTCCTAGTTTCAAGTTATCTCTAACTTTTAACCAACCAAGAATCTTCACTCTTATTTTGAACTTCACTCAACTTGTCCTTACTGAAGTATTTGCCCTTGATGACTCTACTCATTAAGAGATTGAGATTGCTTAAAACTCTCCAAAGTTGTTTCATGATCAATTCATCAATAAACGTTCTAAGATCCGTAACCTTAACCCTCTCATTTCCTTTGATTGAGCTAAATTCTCTTCCCTCACTCTCTGATTTACCCAACCAAAAGTCTACAGACTCCCTGCAAATATCCTCAGAAATAGAAACAGAAAGTCTAAAACAAGACATCACAATATCACATAAGTAGGTAGAGCACTTATCACATATAAATGAATGAAGTAATTTTCACCATATAATTTGTTTTGTTTGAAAATAAATAGTTAAAAGTAGAAATTGTATATATTGGGCCAACTTTCATATATCACGCTATGAAGCCCAATTGCCCATCATCTGGAGGGCTTCACTCTCAATATTTGTTCAGAAAAGCACAAGGCTAACGAAACGGCGACGTAATGGACCTCCCTCCTCCTCAGAAACGAAAGCGCTCCGCATCGCCTCCGCCGGCGCCGGCGACACTTCTGCCATCCGCCGCGCCCTTCGACCTCTCCCTCCTCGAAGCCCTAGAGAAATCCCAGCAGAACCCCATCGAGACCCTCGACCTCAAAACCCTAAAGAAGCTAGCCCTCTCCCTCGAGCGCCGCCTCAACGCCAACACCGCCGCCCGCCTCAAGTACCCCGACAACCCGGACAAATTCGCCGACTCCGAGCTCGAGCTCCACGAAGAGCTCCAGAAGCTCAAGATCCTCGCCGGGGCCCCTGAGCTCTACCCCGACCTCGTCTCCCTCGGCACCGTCAACTCCATCACTGGCCTTCTCAACCACGACAACGCCGACATCGCCATCGACGCCGTCACGCTCCTGCAGGACCTCACCGATGCTGACGTCGTCGAGGATAACGACGAGTCCGCGCAGGTTCTCGTCGACTCGCTCATAGAGAATAATGCAGTGGAGCTGCTCGTGCAGAACCTGGCCCGCCTTAACGATTCCGACCCCGACGAGTCGGCTGCCATCTACAACACGCTGTCCACCATCGAGAACCTCATCGAAGTCAAGCCCTCAGTGTCCGAGCTCGTGTGTGAGAAGACCAAGCTGCTGAAATGGCTCCAGGCCCGGATCAAAGTACGCGAGTTTGACAGTAACAAGCAGTACGCATCCGAAATTCTGGCCATTTTGCTGCAGAACAGTGCTGCCAATCAGAAGAGGTTCGGCCAGATGAATGGCGTGGACACTTTACTGCAGGCTGTGGCAATGTACAAGTCCAAGGACCCAAAGACTGGAGATGAGGAGGAGATGGTGGAAAATTTGTTTGACTGTCTCTGTTGCTTGTTGATGCCGCTTGAGAATAAGGAGAGGTTTGTGAAGGCGGAAGGAGTTGAGCTGATGATTATTATTATGAACCAGAAGAAATCCTGCTATGGCTCTGCAATCAGGGCTCTGGACTTCGCCATGACTAATTATCCTCCTGCGTGCGAAAGGTTTATTGATGTGATGGGGTTGAAGACCGCATTCCCTGCTTTTATGGGTAAGGCAAGTTTGATCCCCTTATACTTATCTGGTGCCTGACTAATTAATGTTTGGATGCTTGTTCTTTCATGGATCACTTGTGATTTCTTTGTATTCTGTTACACATGCCCCTTCTGGTTCATCTGATGTTTGGAAGAGAATCAGTTGAGTGTGAGTAGAATGTTTGATGAAGTATGGAGCTAACTTACAAATTTATTGAAATAATGGCAATGCAGGCCATTTGGTTTTCATGTTTTGTAGTTTTGGCTGTGTTGTTTTACGTGTCATAAATTATAGTAGAATTATGCTTTATGAAATACGATTATTCATCTTTGTTCGTACTAGTAGGATCTATCCTTGATATCTTCTCGACCCTTGTGTCTAACGTTTTTGTATCTTTTGAATTTTCTGTTTAGATACCTTTAAGTAAGAAGAACAAGAAAAAACACTACAAAGAAGAACTCGAAGAACGTCTCATATCGCTAATTGCATCACTATTTGGTAAGAAGGCAAGTTCCTTTAGGGATTACATTACTTACATAATATTTCATCTCATCTACAAATGACAGTGCATATTATCATGTTTTGCCCATAATCTTAGTCGAGCATGAAGGGTATAAATATTCAACTCAAGCCCGACTTTGCCCCAAAATCTTTTAAACTGTTCATGAGAATTTCAACTCAATTACATCTGGGGTGAAAAGGAAAACTATATTGCATTATCAATCATGTTTGATCTTGAATATAAGGGTAACGGTAAGGGTAAGTGTAACTTAAACTAAGTTTACAAGTCATGTATATGTCGTTATTTCAATCATGTTTGTCATTCCCTCTGTAACTAATGTGGTTTATAGTATTGTGCTATTGCCTGTTATTTCATGTAACTCAGTGCGGCCCCTAAATTCAAATTATTGTTACACAGAAACTGCACGTTTTTAGATTCGTTTAGTTTTATTTCTTGCCTCTGAATGTAATTTGCTTGAGATCAGTTCTGTTGCCTTTCTGTTTCCCAGCATATAAGATTCGAATTATACAATTATACTTACCAACTTGTGTCTCTACTCAAGGTCTCTCACTAGCACAAGTATGTGTGTGTGTGCACGCGTGTGTATTGGGTAGCCTCTGTGTGTGTGGGATGGCATTGTTATTTATTGCTGTTTGTGGTAGAGTCAGTACTCTTGCATGTGTTCATGACCTTGAATGTTTCTTTTCTTTTTCCATATTTGTATTGTGATGTTTTGCTTTCCCCAGTCTCTGAAAATGCTGATATCATGTAATTGGTGTATGGTTGCATTTTTTCTGCTTCCACTATAATGTGATTCTACTGATCTTTGTTTTGTAATTCTGTTGCAAACCAGGTGGAATATTAAGAGGTTCTAGAAGGGAAAGGTTGCTGAGTAAATTCGTAGAGAATGAATGTGAAAAGATAGACCGACTTATGGAGCTATACATGAGGTTTGTACTTGTATTCAAGTATACAACCGTTGTTGACAGTTACTCATTCGTCTGCTTTGAATTTTTAATATCTGTTTCATTGAGGCTGTTGTTGGGTCTGATTCTTATTTTGTCTGCTATATTTTTTAGATATTCCGATAGAGTGAAGGCAGAGACTGAACGGCTTAGTCAGCTTGAATTTGATGATTTGGAGGTAAACTAATGTCTAAGTTTTTCTTTTCCATTATTAACTGCCTTTTTCGAAACTTCAGCAAAGTAACCTGCCTCTTGCGGATCCGCATTTTATCTTTATTATTGTTGTCTCAGATTGACGAAGATGAGAAATATAGCCGAAAGCTGGACTCTGGGCTGTATACTCTTCAGGTACTTCTATTGCTCATGAATCTTCTTTGTTATGAACATCTAGATTTAGTTTTAGTGGTTGACTTATTCTTCATTTCTGCAGTTAATTGCTGTTATTCTGGGTCATCTTTGGACCTCTGAGTAAGTTTCATATCCTATTTATCATTTCATGATGGGTTGATATCGGAGGTTGTCGTTTTCTAGTCATTTGGGTTCTAAAATGTAGTGGTGATTTTTCTTTGGTAGGCACTCCCGTATGAGAGCAAGAATTGAACTCTTGTTAAAGCAGCAAAAGCTGACTAAGACTGATGTTAAAGATATACTTCAGGTATTTAGCCTGTTATTATGAATTTGCAGCAACTTGGCCGTTACCTCTCTTTGTTTTTCTTGTGTAACTCCTCTTAAAGAGACAAAAACAATGGCAAACTGGTAATCTGCAGTACTCATATTGTAGCCCACTCTCTAGCCCATTTGTCATATGAAAGATTGGTAATTTCATTGTTCTATTTATGTTATTAATAGCTCTCTTTTTTTCGGGGGTAAGGGAGTGGATATGATAATTCAGTTTAACCATACATTGGAAGCAAGTGGTTGTAGTGACAAACTAATGTAGAAGATCAGAATACAGGGCCTTCACATATGTAAGAGCAGTATTTATGATACTGGTGGGAATATATTTAAGTCCTCTTCAGATTATGGTAGAATTAATGTTAAAGTTGTAATACGGCATCATGGATTCTTTAGTCAACTCACATCGATTACTATTCATCTATTAACTCACATCGATTACTATTCATCTATTAAAGTAAACTTCATTAGCATGAAGTACTTGATTCATCTGGTCGAAGTTTGTNNNGGAGTTATAGGGGGACTTGTGGGGAGGGGAGTCTAAATTCTTATAAGAAACTGCAAGGTACAAGGACCGAACCTTGTATCAACCAGTGAATCACCCTTACAAGGGGTGAGAGAGCTGATTGTATTGAATTTTAAAACGTGATTTGTTTGTCAGAAAAGTTCTCTTTTAAGAATCCCATCTACACAAGATCATTTGCTAGTTATACCGTAACTGAGGAAAAATCATGTGCACTCACAGTTTGACAGTACTGCTGTAAAAAGAAAATCAAACTCAACAGAGATGTTTAAAGAATGTTTTTATGTAATACATAATTAATAGATGATCAGAATGTACAGTGTTCCAATTTCTGGTGCTGTTCAATTAGTTGAAAGATTAAACATTACATATCAATATGATCCTTTTCTTGGGGTGATTCACAGGAATATCATGACAACATTGGTGATCTTGATGGACCAGAAGAGAAGGAAAGGGCTCAGTCAAGGATCTTGAAATTTATTTCTGCCCTTACGTGAGAGCAAGCATTTTGGGGATAAGCAAAATCTGTTGAAAAAATTTTTTGGTATCGTTGTTTTCATTTTATTCCTTGGTGTCACTGTAACTGAGTTGCATATGTTGCTGCTCTTACTGAGAAACTTTACGTGCCAAACACCTGGGCATTCGTGATTTCCTGTAAAATTATTTTGTGTAGAAACTAAGTGTGTTCCCTGCACTTTTCAACCATCAATCAGAAATTGATAAGTGGGTTAGTGTGTTTGGGTGATTTTGAGGAAATTCTTATTGATGATTATTTTTATTTTTTTTTAGTAAGAAAATGGAATCAAGAAGTTAAAATTTGCACTGTTCAGGAGTAGCCAGTTTGCTGGCAAATAGGACTTTGTTAATCTGCTATTAATGTACATGTACTGAATGGGCATCATTGAGTTTAGTTTTTTTTTGTTTGGGACCTGCTCATAGTTTAATGGACATGGGCTCCAGTATTTGTCAGGAATCTGAATTAGTATCATGTCAATTTCATGAATTATAAATAAATTTTGATTGTTAGTAGTACATAATTTACATTTTATTATAAGAATATTGGACATTATTTTGTGTGAAAATGATCTTTCAACTCATCTAAGCCTATAAAAATAGTCGTCTCTTTTTTTTAAAGTAACATGTTTTATACATTTTTGCACCTGTTAAATTTCATGTTGCATTTTCAATGAATTAATGTAAGTAAATTATATTCATATTCGGAGAGTGGCATTGGAAGTGGTCGAGTGGGAGCACGGAGTTCATACATGGCGGGTAATGTTGCAGTTTAAAGCAGAACAGAACATGTGTGTATATTTAGTTTGTATCGACTCTTAGAGGATGTTTTTTTCTTTTTAATGGTTGCAAATTGGCAACTCTTTAGCTGTGTTTTCTCACTTCACCAGTTTGGATCTTGTTAGTTGTTAGTTGGTGAAGATTTAGATAATTTCAAATTTAGGATAAAAAGATTCAACAATTTCAGAGAATTGCGTAAAATTTCCAAGGCTTCTGTCAAATTAAAACACAGCTGCCTTTTGTTTTTCCACCTTCAAAATCATGGAATGTGCCCTGTTGATGGTAATTCTGTTTGTTTTAGTTGTATTATTGAATAGTAATTCTGTTTCTAGAGAATATTTTTCCCCATATCTATCTTGAAAGTCTCTACAACATTGTCATCAATATGACTGTAATTTATCCCCATTCAACCATTATTAATTATGTTCAAAGTAAACCCAAATATAACCATGATAGTTTCATTCTTGAATGCATATCTTAAAAGTTCGTTACTGCTATCGAGAACAAATGGTGCCCGCTTGTTCTTAATCATGAAAACCTTTTT